AAGAACTTCTCAAACTCAGCACTCAAAAAACAAATAACCCACTCAAAAAATGGGCAGAAGACATGAACAGACACTTCTCCAAAAAAGACATACAAATGGCCAACAGACACATGAAAAAGTGCTCCACATCACTTGCCATCAGGGAAATACAAGTCAAAACCACAATTAGATACCACCTTACACCTTACACCAGAATGGTAAAATTAACAAGATGGGGAACAACAAATGTTGGCGAGGATGCGGAGAAAGGGGAACCCTCTTATACTGTTGGTAGGAATGCAAGTCGGTGCAACCACTCTGGAAAACAGTATGGATGTTCCTCAAGATGTTAAAAACAGTGCTACCCTATGACCCAGCAATTGCACTACTAGGTATTTACCCCAAATATACAGATGTAGTGAAAAGAAGGGGCACATGCACCCCAATGTTCATAGCAGCAATGTCCACAATAGCCAAACTGTGGAAGGAGCCAAGATGTCCTTCAACAGATGAAGGGATAAAGAAGATGTGTTTCATATATACAATGGAATATTATTCAGCCATTAGAAAGAATGAATACCTGCCATTTACATCAACGTGGATGGAACTGGAGGGTATTACGCTAAGTGAAATAAGTGAAGCAGAGAAAGACAATTATATGGTTTCACTCATTCATATGTGGAATATAAGAATAGTACAGAGGATCATAGGGGAAGGGAGGGAAAACTAAATGGGAAGAAATCAGAGAGGGAGACAAACCATGAGAAACTCCTGACTCCAGGAAACAGAGGGTTGCGGAAAGGGAGGTGGGAAGGGGATGGGGTTACTGGGTGATGGGCATTAAAGAGGTGTGATGAGCACTGGGTGTTATACTCAACCATTTATCATTGAACACCAAATCAAAAACTAATGACATATTATATGCTGGCTACTGAATTTAATTTAAAAAAAAAGAAAGAAAAGTGCCTGGGTGGCTCAGTCCGTTAAGTGTCTGCTTTCAGCTCAGGTCATGATCCCAGGGTCCCGGGATCAAGCCCCGTGTCGTGCTCCCTGCTCAGCAGGGGGCCTCCTTCTCCCTCTGCTCCCCTGCTCCTGCTCTCTTTCTCTCAATCTTAAAAAAAAAAAGAAAGAAAGAAAATTGGGCAAGAATAAAAAAAGTATGGTACGTTATGCTTCTGTTCACCAAACTTTAGTGTCCCTTCCTTATTAGTCAGCTCTGGCTTCCATAACAAATACCCTACACTGAATGGATTAAAAAGAAAATTTCTTTTCTCAGATTTCTGTAGGCTAGGATGTCTAAGATCAAAGTGTCAGTCAATTCCATTCCCAGTGCAGACTATCTTCCTGGCTTACAGATGGTCACCCTCTTGCTGTGTCTTCTCATGGTGGGGAGGTAAAGATCCCTCCTCTTCCTCTTTTCATAAGGCCACCAATCCTATCAGATTAGGGCCCCACCTTTCAGACTTCATTTAAGAATAATTACTTTCTAGGGCACCTGGGTGGCTCAGATGGTTAAGCGTCTGCCTTCGGCTCAGGTCATGATCCTGGAGTCCCGGGATCGAGTCCCGCACTGGGCTCCCTGCTCAGCGGGGAGTCTGCTTCTCCTCCCTCTAACCCTCCTCCCTCTCCTGCTCTCTGTCTCTCGTTCTCTCTCTCTCAAATAAATAAATAAAATCTTAAAAAAAATAATAATAATAATTACTTTCTAAAGCCTTGATCTCCAAATACAGTCACATTGACAGTTAGAGCTGGCCTTCAGCATATAAATTCTGGGGGTATACAATTTAATCCATAGCACACCCTGTGGTGCCCTTCTCTGCAAAAGGATTAACATGGCTTTGAGGTGGAACTCACATAAGCAGATCTGTGTTCCTCCATTTATTTATCTTGCCTTGACAGATAATACGTGAATGGACATGACACATGTCACTTCTAAGTAGAAGCTGTAGGAGCCATGCATAGATCCCCATATTCTCCCTCTGTTAGAGGACCAACAATGTTACAGTTTAAAAACAAAACAACAACAAGAAAAAAAAAACACAACTCCTCTGTCTGGAACACTGAATAAAGCAGAAAGGAGAAAAAACAAAGCCAACCCATGATGAATAGGTAGTATGAACAAGAAAGAAACCTTTCTTGTGGGCCTAATTGATAATGAATGGGCACCATAACCAGACAGAAACAAATACCACCAACAACAGCAACAGCAGGGCAAAGAAACCGGTTTAGCCCCTGCTACCAGGGGCTAAACGATAGATCACAGTGTTACTTACAATAACCGATACTTATGTATGTAGGGTTACCGAAGTAACATGAGTGGTATGTACTAAGTCACATAATGTTTACCTCACGGGCTTAAAGCTTTAGAAAAAGAGGTGGGAAAACATCATTAGTAGTAAATATCAGCTACTAGTCACTGCCTTTAGTAAAGTACTGTAGGAAAGTGATGAGCTCGGGGGGAAATAAACAGTCCAGTTTATAGGGATGAAAGAAAAGTGAGAAATACTAGAAATCCAGGAACCTGTAGGACTGAAAAACTTTCTAAGTATTTCCCATTTTATCTGTTATTAAGGCTAAAAAAGTTGTCTCTTCCAGTTCTTACAGAAAAAAATATGAGAAATGCTTTGAGAGTCAAGGGTAATTAAATTCAACTTCATGGGAGTAACAAATATAAGTTACGACCACAACATGCTATGACACAACTGAACCTTGAAGACAACATGTTAAGTAAAATAGCCGCAGGAAGATGAATACTGCATGGCTTCACCTTGAGAGGCTCAATTCATGGACACAGAAAATAAAACCATGGTTGCCAAAGGCTGAGTTAGAGGGGATAGGTTGTTGGTATTTAATGAGTAGAGCAACATTTGGGAAAGATGAAAAATTTCTGGAGATCTGCCCAACAATATGAAGATAACTAATGAAATTGAACTGTACTCTTAAAAATGGTCAGAATGAAAACAATGAATCGTGGATCACTACATCAAAAACTAATGATGTATTGTATGCTGACTAACATAATAAAATAAAATTTAAAAAAATAAGTCAGAATGGCCAATTTGTGGTTATGTATATTTTATCAAAATTTTGAAGTTAACCAACTTTTCACCAATTTCTAGTCCAAAATGACTTATGTTGATGCATACATCCATTTCTCCCTACTCATTTCAAGAGATTAGCAGAAACAGCAGAAAATTAAATATTCTTTAACAGGGTTGAACACATGACAGGTCATTTTTGAACTAGCAATTTATATTTCTATGATAATAAAAACCATAAATAAAATCACTGAAAATTGTATACAAATAAAAAGATAAAAATTATCAAAATCTGTGCTCCTTGCTTTTATACTTTTGCCTACCTTCATCTTGAACCTTGTTCAAATATATCTAATTCCTTAATGCTTCTCTCCAGCTAGACTCTTCAAGCTGCCACCACACATGTACCTAGTAGCACAGCTCAAGAGGGACTGAACCTGATCAACAAGCAAACACATCGTTCTTCAGGTGTGGCCGAGAAAGATAATACCAATGTAAAACAGAAAGTTACTGTACTTGTGAGCACCGATGCAGATATTAGATAAAATGAAAAGAACAAACAAAAGTAGCAGGATTTCATATTAAATGAGATTATACCTGAGAGAGAGGGAGGGAGCCAGGAGAAATCCCATTTGAGTCACTGGATAAATGGAAGAAGTATCATACATGAGGGAAGAAAGGAAGATGTGCTTTGCACATAGGACTCGCTCAGTTTGAGGTGTCTTCTGGATGGCTACAAAAGAAACATTCACCAGGGAGTTGAACCTGTGGTCAAAAGGCTAGGGAAGAGGTCCAAGCTGGAGAGAGGAATTGTCAAGACTGTCAAACCACAGAGGGCCAAACAACTCAAGAAAAACCATATAGTATGAAAATGGGGCCCAGATTTGAACATTTGGATGAGCTATGTTCAGGAGAGGAAACAAAGAGAAATCACCAGGGAGGCCACCATAGAAGCTAACAGACAAGAATGTCCAGGAGAAGATCCTGGACAGTAGTTTTACTACAGCAGAAGATTCAAGTAAGGCAAAGCCTACAGCACAGTCATTGAATCAAACTATAATCTGGGTTGATATGTAGGTTGTAGGTTATTTCTCCACTTAGAAAACATGAATTAAGACAACACTGAGTAGGTTAAGGTGCAAATGAGTCGTAGAACTATTTGTTCAGAAAATACAACTTTGAACAGTCAGATGCACAACCTACACAGACAGACTGGCTGAGAGAAACATGTTATTTATTTATTTATTTTAATATTTTATTTATTTGACAGAGAGAGAGGGAGGGAGAACAAGTAGGGGGAGCTGCAGAGGGAGAGGGAGACGCAGGCTCTCCACTGTGCAGGGAGCCCGACTGCAGGGCTCGATCCCAGAACCCTGGGATCATGACCTGAGCCGAAGGCAGACGCTTAACGACTGAGCCACCCAGGCGCCCATGGAGAGTTATTTAAAGACCTGCAGTCCATTCAGTCCTACAGACATCCCAAGGTTTGGATCAAATAGGGCCTTGGATCATGGATTGAGTAGGGCCGTGGATTGAGTAGGGCCCTCCAAAAGCTGTCTGGGACACTATTTTAGCAAAGCTTATTAAGCAAGTTGTATTTTAGGTAACCATCACCACTGCAGAGTGCTGAAAGTGTTGATTTCCAGACTGGTAGCAAAACACTGTCCACTACATCAATTTTCATGTCCCAAGAGAATGTGGCACGCCTCTCCTAAGGGTCCTTTCTGAACAGGTAGCAACTATGTGTGTCTTTTTGCCATGGCATCAGAAACACCAGAGACCAATCTGCACTCACCTTGGATGACTCTACGGTTATATAACCTGCCCATATCTACATGCCACCTTTATCAGGTCTATGTATATCTCCCTAAAGCTGCATTTTACTTATTTCTATTTTTCTATTTTAAAGTATGAGCCCTTCCTCATCAAGCTTATGAAGGCCCACGTAAAATAAGCTGAGGAATAAACAAACAAACAACTCACCAGAGATGTATTCATCTTCCACGGCTCTTGGAAACTCAGAGGACTCTGGAAAGATAGCTGGGAGAGAAGGTGAATGGACTAGGGTCATGACAGGACTGCTGTGGCTTGCTCCCAGATCCTGGATTCTCTTGTCTGAAGTGCTTTACACATTAGCTAGAAAAGACAATTGAGAGAGAGAGAGAGAGAGCACCTTCTGTGGGACAAGAATATTTTACACCTTGAGAAAGGGCAGGAAAGACCCTATTGAAGGAGTACCCACAAGCCCATTAATTTACATATACAGTTTATCTTTAGTTAATCAAAACACCTATTTCCTACTGACTTATCAACAGTTAATAGTAAGAATCAATTTAAGATTTTGAAGATGACTTATTTAAATAATGATTAACTATGTTCCTATTAATAGAGACATACATGCAGGGTTTCACAGTAGTGTCTCCATGAGGACACCTGTGGTTTAAATACCCCATCTTCACAGAACGTATATATCCTGCAACCAACATTTTTGGGCAATGACTTTATAGGAAAACATTTAATGACTTTCTCTGTCTTATGTCTTATGCTCATAAGGTACATGGTACATGTTGTTGTTGTGCACTGTTCCAGTAATGGTTCTCAATGACTTGCTTCCCTGTATTCATTTCCTCCAAAACTGACATGGGCTTTGCCACTTGATCTGCTTTCATCAAAAGGAACTCAGCACATACAACCCAGACACAGGATGAAGAGTACTTTTCCACTAACATCTTGTGAAGAGGCCTGGGGCTAGCCTGATAAGGACACATGGCTCAGCCAAGAGCCAGCACCAACCACCAAAAAAGTAAATGAAGTCCTCTTCAACCAACCAACCTTAGTCATGGCACCAGATGAGTATGGCCTCTATTGTGAACCAGGCAACACTAACACAGGAACTGATCAAGTAAACCTAGCCCCAAGTGCTGGGCCGTAGGACTTCAAAAAAAAATAAAATGACCCTTGTTTAAAGTCATTAAATGTGGGACGCCTGGGTGGCTCAGTTGGTTAAGTCTCTGCCTTCGGCTCAGGTCATGATCCCAGGGTCCTGGGATCGAGTCCCACATTGGGCTTCTCCCTCTGCCTGCTGCTCCCCCTGCTTGTGCTCTCTCTCTGACAAATAAATAAATTAATTAAAATCTTAAAAAAAAAATAAAGTCATTAAATGTGGTTGGCCTGTTACCTAGCAAATGCTAAAGTGATACATTTAAACCCCCAAACTCAGTATGTTTTTAACAAAATTACATGGGGGAGAAAGTCTTGAATAACACACCAAGTACCATCAGTAGAACTTGACAACCACATACAGAACTTTGGAAGAGCATAAAGAATGCCCACTCGATGGATTTCAGTGAGTCTGCTGGAAGAGAGACCATGGGAATCACACAAAACTGTCTGCCTTTCAGAAGACTACATCTTGACACCTTTACTTCATTATATGAGTCTGTTGATTACAGTTGGGCACATGCTGTGTTTTATTTACATTCTAAAAAAATGGTTTAGAGAAGAAATGTGATGTAGTCTAATTTTCCCATTTTGCACAATGAAAAATGGAAAAACAGGCTCCTGGCATTGTACTGCAGAATTTTTTATTTTCACAGACCAGATTACTGGCATTGAGTGGGAAACACCTGTATTATAAATGCCTGGAGCATAAGACATATGACAGACAAAGCATCAGGGAAAATGGGATAAGCATGTTTAAGGCAAGTTCTTCTAAGAAATGGTTAAGTTGACCGCATTTATCAAAAATGGTGTCAGAAACAAACGTGTTGTCGCTTAATTGTGGCAAAAGAGATAACACTATCCAAAAGCCAGGATGCCTGATGTATGCAAATCATGTGAGCCTGGCAAACCACTTATGTCCTCAAATCCATTTTTCCCCCATCCTTTTTTTTTTTAAGATTTTATTTACTTATTTGACAGAGAGAGACACAGCGAGAGAGGGAACACAAGCAGGGGGAGTGAGAGAGGGAGAATCAGGCTTCCCGCCAAGCAGGGAGCCCAATGCGGGACTCGATCCCAGGACTCTGGGATCACGACCTGAGCCGAAGGCAGTCGCTTAACAACTGAGCCACCCAGGCGCCCCCCCCCCCCATCCTTCTTATAAGGCAGAGATGCCCTGGCAAACCCTTCCTGAGCCATCAGGAAGAACATTCAAGACAGAGGGAGCATCAGCACATCTCTAGCTGCGTAAGCGGAGAGAGTGCAGATAACGGCAACAATGAGGGGAGAATAAAGCAATGGGAGTGTTTCGCAAGCACGGGCAGGTGGCTTCTCTCAGCTGCAGCAGGTTATCCCTCCACCTCAGACCCCTCGGATGAGTGACATTTCGGGGGCCTTTGCCCACCTGTCTCAGCCTGGCTCAGGTCTCCTGAAAGCAGGCCCAACGTTCCAATAACACGCAGTCCCTGGTGACTTCTGGGGGAGGTGGTAGCCCCCAAATCTTGTTCACTCCGGGCAGGAGCATCAACAACTGCTTGGCCGTGCGAAGTTGGGGTCTTCTCCTTTCCAGGACTCTTCTGCCTCTGCTCTGAAGCGCGAGTGGGAGGGTTCAGGTCACAGGGGTAGTCGTGTTCCCGTTCACGGGGCGCTCCCCTTCGTGCTTCCTAACAGCTGCCTTCTTCCAAAGAAGACAAGACTGTCGTCCGGGGCCGAACCATCTCTCCTAGAACTAGCGGTCCCTGGAAACTAGGTCTTCCATCAACTTCTGTAAACGCAAGTGCTCGGCAGGCTCCATAGCGGAGGAGGGGACCTGACACTGGGCCTGCTGAGGAGACTCCAAGAAACCCCGCAGATACAACGGCCTCCCAGTAAGACCCGGGCGCGCACGCCCTTCACAATGATCTCTAGGGAATCGGGGTCACTTCACTATTCACCAAGACGCCCGCATCAGAGGCGAGCAAAAGGAACGTCCTAAAGCTTCCCGGCGCGGCCCAGGATGCTGCAGCGGCACAGCCGGAACGTGGACGCGGACCGTCTGCAGCCCGCCCCCGCCCTCGCTGTCACCTTGCGCTCCACGCCCACTTCGCCAAGCTCCCCGAAGCACACGCCGGGTCTTCCACAGCGTGCCTTCTCCCAGCGAAGCAACCCCTGCAAGCACAGCCCGAGTCGGCCCTGCCCGCGCCCCTCGCCCCGGTCCGTGGGTCGCACCTGCACGTCAGGTCCCGCCCCGCCGAGTCCCCGCGGGTCGCAGGGCTCCCTTTCCACCTTCGCATCAACCTTCAGGGACACAGAAACCAACGCACCAGCGGCAGTGGCAGCAGCTGACGGAGAAGAGCAGGCAGCGAAACTTCCGGGCGGAAGAGGGGGCGGGTCCGCCCGTGCGCAGAAGGAACCCGGAAGACTCCCAGAGTCCTGTGCGGGAATTCCTGTGGAATTCGAATTGCAGCGGGAGACTACATTTCCCACAAGTCTCTGCGCTCAGTCCTTTAGGAGCCGTGGGTGGTGATGTGTCCAGCTGCCCTGGAGCGGGCTGTGGTAGGTGAGATTTGGTCTCTACCCACGTGACAATAACGGGGAATTCTGGTTCGTTATGAAATATTGATTTCACCAAATGGAAGAGACGTTGTAATTGGGAAAATTCTTTTTTTTTTAAAGATTTTATTTATTTATTTGAGAGAGAGAGAGAATGAGAGAGAGCACATGAGAGTGGGGAGGGTCAGAGGGAGAAGCAGACTCCCCGCTGAGCAGGGAGCCCGATGCGGGACTCGATCCCGCGGCTCCAGGATCATGACCTGAGCCGAAGGCAGTCGCTTAACCAACTGAGCCACCCAGGCGCCCTGTATTGGGAAAATTCTAATATGCAGGAAACATTCCATCGCCTGAAATGTCAGCTTTAATTGTTAGTTGTAATAATGGTAGTGTGGTTGTAGAATACGCTCGGATTTTTTTCCACTTGCATACTAAAGCATGAAGTGAAATATCACAATGTCTGCATTTATTATAGAACTTTAAAAGCAGATATGGCAACGGCTTTTACTTTGTTAAACTAATATTATTAAAGTAGATCCTGGCGTTTGGGATGGTGAACTAACGTTCAACAAAAGACCACACTGGAAAGTGAAGTTTATTTACAGAAGTTCATTACTCACAGGTTGGAGGACCTATACCTCATGCTTCAAGGAGTCTCAAGGCGAGGTCAAAATAGCGTGCAAGCAAAGCAAGTTCAGCAGAACCCGGAGTACGTGTCTTCATTAGGGTCCCCCCCCCCCAGATGTGTTTAAAGTTCCAAAGCTAAAGCCAGGTGGGTCAATTCAAACCAAAAAGAGTGGAGTTTTGGTATGGTCCACGGGGGGGCTTAGCTAAGAGATCTACGAGGTGAAAGTTTTGGCAGGCAAGGGAGCTGTTGCTCACATGGGCTGCTGGGGACGATGACATTAGGACTTAAGCTTTGTGACTCTGTAGACCGTTATCTAGGGAAGGACTAATGTCAGTCTGAGGTCCCAGCATGCCCCTTGGCCACACAAAATGGATGCAATGGCAGAAATATCATGGCGTAGTTCATCTAAACACTGGACAGCAGTACTCTATGAACCCATTAAGCAGATGCTAGTTCAAGTGCCTTCTTAGCACAATGGGCATGTATCAGTCTCATAAATAGATGCTGTTCTCACCCACTAACTTCTAAACCATCAAAGGATGGTTCCACTGTTGGAAAACCTTCTCTAGTATATATACAGGAATAAAATAATTGGGTCATAGAGTGGGTGTACTCCAAAACAGTGCAAATTTACATTTCCAGTGTCTGGTAATTACTTGCCCAGAAACTCCAATGATTTTTCCATTCATAAATCCACTTATCAGAATCTTTACTTATTTATTTTCCTGAGTTAGACTTGAACATGGACTTCCCTTTCCTGGTTTCTGTGACACAAACAAACAAGTTCAACACACTGCTTTCTGCTGTCACTGCTGCACCTCTAGAAACAGGGATAGAATGGGTTTTTATAATTGGGTTGATGTGGACTTTAGTGGTAGTGGTGGCAGCTGATTGTCTGGCCCATGACCTATCACACCTATCTCTGGTTTTCCTTTTCCTAAAATATGACCTCTGTTCAAATTCATGTATCTTTTCTGATCCTGCAGTTGCACCTCATTGGCTATATTATGCAGACCCAGGAACCTCAGCCGTTACTTTTCCATTCCCTTCTTTTCTCAGACTCTGGAGTCCCTAGCCTCCCTTCCTTGGTCTTCTGGATCCTACATTCCTCTCTTAAACACCTATTGGTGTGATATTTGGAGATCCTTTAAATCCCTGCCAAACATTCAAATGTTTGCTAATACATCAGCAAAGTTCTGGACCTGGACTATTCTTGGTGTGAACTTTTAAATTACTAATTCAATCTCTTCAGTTGTTTCAGATTCATTCACATTTTTGTTCTTGAATCATTTTGGTATTTTAGGTGTTTTATGAATTTATCCATGTCATCTAAATTATCTAATTTAGTGGTGTACAATTGTTCATATAATTCCTTTAAAACTGTTTAATTTCTGTAAGGTCTGTAGTAATGTCCCATCTTTCATTTCAGATTTTAGCAATTTGAGTCTTCTCTCTTTATTTCTTGGTCAATTTACCTAATGTTTGTCAGTTTTGTTGATCTTTTCAAAGAACCTGCTTTTGGCTTCATTGATTTTCTCTTTTGTTTTTCTATTCTCTGTTTAATTTCTTTCTGTTCTAATCCTTCCTCTACTTGCTTTAGATCAGTTTTCTCTTCTTTTTTCAAGTGTCTTAAGGTGGAATATTCCATTATTGACTCAAAATATCTTTTCTTTGGTCATATATGAGTACATTGGCCCCCAAGCACTGCTTTAGTTGCCTCCCATGAGTTTTAGTAAGTTGGGTCTTAATTTTCAGTTATTTCAGTATACTTTCTAATTTCCTTTTTGATTTTTTCTTTGACAGATAGTAATTTGGGGGTTTGTTAATTTCCAACATAGTTGTGAGTTTCCCTTACTACTTTCTGTTTTTATTTATGAAATCCACTCAATTGTGATTGGAGAAAGCATATGCTTTGTATTATTTCTATCATTTTATATATATTCTGGTTCATTTTATGGCTTAGTTTTTCTTGAAGAATGTTTTATGGGCAGTTGAGAAGAATGCTTATTCTGCTTTTGATAACTGGATTGCTCTGGACATGTTTGTTAGATCTAGTTGGTTTATGCTGTTGTTTGAATCTTTATTTTTTAGTTATAATTTTGCCTAGGTGTTCTATTCACTATTAAAATGAGGTACTGAAGTTTCCAACCATTGTCATTGAATTGTCTTTTTCTCCCTTTATTTCTGTCAGTTTTTCTTACATGTATTTTGGAATTCTGTCATTAGGTGCATATGTTTATATAATTGCTATATCTTGGATTGACAGTTTTTCATTATAAAATGTCCATCTTTATCTCTTAATAACTTTTTTTTGCTTTAAAGACTATTTTGTCTAATGTTAGTATGATGACTTTAGTATGGCATTTTTTTGTGGATTTTTGTTGGAATTATATTTATTTTCCTACCCTTCTATTTTTAATCCATTTTTATCTTTGAATCTGAAGTATGACCCCTGTGTACAGCATAGACATAGATCTTGTTCTTTATCAAGTCTGACAATCTCTACTTTAGGATTGGATTGTTTAATCCATTCACATTTAATGTTACTGATATACTTGGATTTTTACTTGCAATTTTACTTTTTTCTATGTTTCTCATATCTTTTTCTCATTCCTCTATCCCTCCTTACTGCTTTCTTTTGCAAAATAGTTAATATTTTCATATGTAGCATTTATATTTCTTTTTTTTTTAAAGATTTTATTTATTTATTTGAGAGAGAGAGAATGAGAGACAGAGAGCACGAGAGGGAAGAGGGCAGAGGGAGAAGCAGACCCCCTGCTGAGCAGGGAGCCCGATGCGGGACTCGATCCCGGGACTCCAGGATCATGACCTGAGCCGAAGGCAGTCGCTTAACCAACTGAGCCACCCAGGTGCCCCATTTATATTTCTTTAATGATTTTTTCACTATGTATGTTTTAGCTATTTCCTTAGTTTTTTAACTTTATTTTATTTTATTATGTTATGTTAGTCACCATACCATACATCATTAGTTTTTGATGTAGTGTTCCATGATTCATTGTTTTCATATAACACCCAGTGCTCCATGCAATACGTGCCCTCCTTAATACCCATCACCAGGCTAACCCATCCCCCCCACCAATTCCCCTTTAAAACTCTCAGTTTGTTTCTCAGAGTCCATAGTGATTGATCTTTGGCTTACTCTATACATCTTAAATTATCAGGATCATATTTAGATTCATACCAACTTAGCTGTAGTTATATATAAAAACATTATTCCTATATACCTCTATATCCACCTCACCCTTTTTTGAGGTACAATTGTAATACAAATTACATCTGTAAATACTACAAACTAAACAAGATTTTGTTATAATTCTTACATTATATAATGTATGTCTATTAAAGAAGTTGGTAAAAGAAGAGCAATGATGTACTTGTAGCTTTTGTGTATTAAACTTATTTATTACTTATGGTTCTCTTCATTTATTCTTATAGACTCGATTTACCATCTGGAGGCATTTTCTTATCACAATACATCTTCTCTCCCACTCAGCTCCAGTGTACTACTATAGGTAAATATATTTTCACACATTACAGGCCCGACAATACATTATATACATACTGTTTTATTCAATGCTTTTGAATCAGTTAAAAGAAGAAAGTTGAAAAAATGTTCATTTATATTCTCTTTTATAGTTACCTAATTACCATTCCTGGTGCCTGTCCCCACTTTGGTGGGGGCATATATTCAAATTACTCTCTGCGGTCATTCACTTTCATCTTGAATAACTTCTCTTAATATTTCTTATAAGGCAGGTCTGCTAGCAACAAATTTCCTCAGCTTTGTTTATCTGGGCATGTCTTTCTTTGATCATTTTTGAAAAATAGTTTTGATGGACATAGGATTCTTGGTTGATAGTTTTTTCCTTTGAGCAATTTGAATGTTATTTCAATTCCTTCTGACCTCTATTGTTTCTGCTTAGCAGTTCACTGTTAATCTTTTTCGTTTTTTCTTAAGTGATAAAAAGTTTCCTTTTTAAGTAAAGAGGGTTTCATTCTTCTCTCTATCTTCCTCCTCCTAAGATTTATTTCTACCTTGCCATTATCTTTCAGCATTTTTACTGTGATGTGTCTGTGCATTTCTTTGTGTTTATCCTAACTGTAGTTCATTGAGTTCTTAGCCAGTTAATGTGTCTTCATTGGCTGTATATCCTTGGCACTAATTCCTCAGACTTTAAATGGTTGTTTTGTTTTGTTT